TCCATGGCACTCACAGCTTCCGCGGCCTTTCGCTTCTCCGCTTCCATGGCGCTCACAGCTTCCGCGGCCCTCTGCTTCTCCGCTTCCATGGCACTCACAGCTTCCGCAGCGCTTCGTTTTATGGTTTCCAGGGTCTTCAAGTCTTCTGCTTCAGTGGGTACCACATTCTTTTGCGCTTCAATCTCGGTATTTTTGATTGTTACCGCGGTATTTCTTTTCTGGGGGTTTGGGAATTTGTTGTGCTGTGTTTGTTTAATATTTACTTTCTCCGGCTGCAGTGTGCCAAGTTGACGTTTTTTTTGTTTTGTTCTTCTTCAGCCATTTTTTCGACTTTTAGCGCCTCTTGGTGCCCGCATTGCAGCTTGTCTGCACGCCCAAGAGCGTCTGTTTTATCCTTCTCTGCTTTTTTTAGTTTTTCTAGTAGCTGTCCCTGGGTGAACTGCGACGTGCGCCGGAGCTCTTCGTGAGCGTACTCTAGCTCTTTTATGCGCTCGTCGCGCATTTGAATCTCAAGTTGGAGTGTGTCAACGAGTTCAGGCCTCGCTGCCGAACTGGCAAGGCTGCTGGCATCGGAGTCGAAGCCTCCCCGCGAGTCTTCGAGGCTTGAAGTAGGTGAGCCATGAGCACCCTGAGGACGAGTTGTAGGCGAGTCGGTCTGGAAAAAGCCGATCATTTACTGTTATCGTAACTTTAGTTAGTTGAAATGTCTCTGCGTAAAGTAAGGGGAAGAGGCAAAAGCAGCATCTCGGTCAAGGAGATTAAGAAGAGTACGGGTTACAATAGTGCTGCAATGCCGTTCACATCAACAGCGCTCTAAGAGGAACCAGGACAACGCATCGCGCCCACCGACGAGAATTGTGCCTGCATAGCAATAAAAAAAACAAGCAAGGGGGTTCATGCGTGTCGTGGAAGCAGAGAAAACAACACGCGAGACTGCACACGGCACTATCTTCGGTGCATGTTTAGCTCTCTTTCTTTGCGGGAGAGTTCAGGATTCACTCGGCTAGCCATCTCCACCGCTCCTCCAGTCGTATCTGAGCGAAGAAAATGCCAGTTGCCCCTCACACGCCCGGCAAGCGTCGTTAGTTTCGGCAATGCCCACGGCAGGATGGAAAGCCAAGGCAACGGGCACCCCACACAATCCGCATCTAAATTGAGACACAAACTTCAAGAAACGCCGAGGAGAAGAGAAGAGAAGAAAAGGAATAGGAACTCAGTAGCTGCACACTTGGCACTGTCATCCGCCCCTCTCGGGGGGGGGGGGGGGGAGTGGAAGGAGGCCCGTTTCCCCATAGTTTGCTAAAAAAAAAATCCCATCATCCCTGAATAAAAAAAAAAATCAAAATAAAAAAACGTCACAGTAGTCAGTAAAATACTAAGTAGAGTAAGTTTGTATATAGTTGCATATACACATATAAGTTTTGTAAGTCCCTAAATCCGTCATGGATACGGTTCTCCCGCTCAGTCACTGTTTTTCTGTCCAAGACAAAAGTGGCAAAAAAAAAAGTAAAACACAAAAAAAAACATTGCTGTCATTGGAACTCACAGCTTTGTATGCGACCCATCGCAAAATGGCGGATTCTTTGTCTGCTTGCAGCCGCAAAGATATGCCTTCTCTGTCTTCTTCGCGGTAAACGCCATGGGCTTCAGTGTCGTCTTGTGTTCCGCGTTGTAAGTCTGGTGACTCCCGTCGCAGAAAGGTTGATTTTTGCTCAGACCACATGTGCACCAGTAGTAGGTCTTCCCTTCCTCCACATCAACGCCGTAGGGCGCCTTCTGCGGGACGGCGACGTGCGTCGCGATAGAGTAGGCTGCAGTGTCAGACATTGTGGAGCTTGGGATGTGGGTTTTTGGCTCTTTGAGATAGTTGGAGGTGCGACTTCTACCAGAGTGGGCGGTCATGAAGCGCAAGAGAAAAATGGCAAGAGAAAGATGCTAGTGGTTCGGCGGGAGTCATTTCTCTCCCGCCTACAACACCCACGGCGTATAACACAGGAGACCAACACAACGCAGCAATATGACCTAGGCTTCCGCCTTCATTTCTCGTCAAAGCAAGAAAGAGCTGCACTCACCTTTCTCTTTTCTTTCGCCTTTGGATTGATTGGATCAGCAACGTCAAGTAAAGAAAGTACACGTGCCATATTTTTCTTTAGGTCGCTCTCTATCGATTCAACAAGTTCGTAGAAGCGTCCCTTTGCACCGTCCTTGTTGCCTACAGTTTTGGCCTCTTGTCGATAGGCACTGTGTATCCCAGCCTGTTCGCCACGTACGGCAGTGCTGACGGGGCTTGTGGAACTTCCTTCCTGTTTGACAGGTGCTGTTGTGGTGCGTCGCCCTGTGGCGTAGGCGTTTGGCTTCGCGAGCAGAGCACCGCAGACGGCACACTCGTTCTCATTGGTAAGCATTGCCCTTGCCAACTCCAGGCATTGCCTGCAAGCCGAGTAGCGACAACATGCAAGCACCACCTCTTCAAGGCTTTCGAGCTCGCACAAAACACATTTCCCTCTAGTTGGTTTCGGCAGTGGTGCCATGTCAGTATTTCTCTGCCGCTGAAGCCAAGGAAGCAGAGGAAACGCCTTGTTTGATAAGGCGGCCACACGACTAAAGGCATGTGGGTCAGCAGTATCTTCACTGCCGCGGCTGCGTTTTTGCTTGCAAGAGCAAGGCGCCTGGGACTCCTTCATGGCCTCTTCAGATTGTAAAAGACCTTCTACGTGCTCTAGGAGGTTTTCTTCTGTCAGCTGATCACTCGAATTGACTCTATCCATGTAATGCCTCCGCAAGACACTCACAGCAATCCTGTCGTAGGTGCGTAAGAGAGTCCCCAACGGTAGGACGTCATTGGTGGCATCTTTCAGTGCCGTCTGAGAATCCTGACGCTCTGCACCAGCCGTCAGGAGGCGACGAACCTCAAATTTGTACTTTGTGAGGTTTATCTGGTGTTGCTTTACAACCGCCTGCAGCAGTGCTTCTAGAGGCACCGTCTCGCCGCTAAATCCAAAGCTGTGGTAACGGCCAGATGCAGCGGGATGGGAGCCTAGCAGTCTATACTGCACCACGCCTTCAACCTCCATGTTCCTTCTACCTGGGCGCGCCCTTCAGCTGTGATGTCCGTTGGCCCAGCAAGCGTGACTTCGCTGCGTGGGACAAAAATAAAATAAAAATAAAATAAAAAAGTTCCAACGCGGAAACTCCAAATTCCAGCTCCTCTAAAAGAAAGGCGAATTGTATGTGGGGGGAGGTTAAAAAAAAAATAATAATAATAATGTGTTGGGTTCTATATGTATAATATACGCATACATTTCACTGAACAAACACGCCGTTTGTTTCGACTTTCCGATGGGAAAAAGAGCTTGGATTACATCTCAACACAACAGTAAAAACGTGATGCTTATACATCCGGCATGGCGGCGACGGCCGTCGTTTGCTCCCCTCAATCGCCGTAGACCGTTGCTATAACACCATGCTTTGTGCTGCCGATAGTACTGGGGTTTGCCTTCTTTGCTCCCCCCGCGACGTAAACCGTGCATCCATCAACGGTGAAGTACCGGTCCGATTCCGCTTTTTCCTCAAGCTTCTTTCGAAGTTTGCTTATGGCCTCCTCCTCATTGTCGCCGGCGTATCCTAAAGCATCCAGAGGCGATATCCCATCAAACTGATTCTTTGGCTTCGTCACACGCGGTCTATCCTTCGTGAGGCGGAGAGATTCGACAGAGTGTCTCTGCCGGTAGATCTGCGCTCTCTTTTCTTGGGCCTCCAAGTTTGTCCAATCCACACAACAGAGAAAGTTGCTGCGGTCAATGCCTTCGTAGGCCTCCTCGTCCGGTGGCGTGTAATCAACTTTCATGACGGTCTGAGGGATAAACTGGGACTGTGCACCTGTAAACACCTCGCGAAAGTTGTCCTTCTCACGTGGGGTGGCCACATGCAGTATCCATATCCGGGCAAGCCTCTTCCCAAGATCGGAAAGTACAATCCCATAGTGTTTGATCATCATCTTTGCCTCACAAAAGGCTACTTGGCAGGTATACTCCGCAGTGTACTCAGGGTCTTGCATGTCAGGGTCTTGTGTGTAAATCTCCTGGCAGATGCGACGAAACGAATCGCGCTGTTTCCCTGTGGCTGTTTTGTTGTACCAATACTCCACCTGCTCACGACGCTCGGGGGCAAATATGGGATGGTACTCTTCATGCATAAGGTGCCATTTGACGGATGGCTTCTGCGGTAGCGGCACAAGCTTTCTGAATCTGGTGTTCATCTTCTTATGTCGTCGGTGACCCCCGTAGGCCTTCCGGACAAAACACTTGGCCCCGCCCCCTTCAGTCTACCCCGCCTAAACCTGAGCGGAAGGAGAAGAGCAACAACTGCGGACTGCACGACGCAAAGCAGGGAAAAGCAAAAAGAGACAAAAACACCAAGCAGCAAGCCACGCGAAGGGAGTTCGATGCCCCACCCACTCACTATACATGAAGGCAACGAAACGACGTCGGGACCATAAAAATGGCAGGCGTCGGATCCCACCGACGATGCCAAGAAAGTAACAAAAAAACGCGAAAAACACACAAAGAAACATAACCCCATGTTGAGGAGCACATGTACACACACACCGATACAAGTACACGGATATATACCTGGTAGATATATATATATATATGATATGAGAGAGGTCGATAGGAGGTGAAGGTCTTGTTTTTTTCTGTTCATGGTGTTTTTTTTGTGTGGCGCAGACTACTGAATACCATTCTTCAACTGCTGCTGAGCCTCTTTTGTCAACTCCTCCAATCCAGCGGAGCCACCCGCACTTGTGAGGGGCACCTGCACAACAGAAGAACTGTTCACGCTTACTAGACCCTTAAACGCCTTTGTCCAAATGTCTAATACGATTGAGTTGCATGTGAGGATGTCTACACTTATCGCGGTGCCATGGCGGCGGGCAGTGAACCAAAGGGAAAAGGCGCCCTCGGTCGGAAGCTTCACACGGTGGTTGTCCACCCGTGGTCCTACTATTGTGCGCAAGGACAGCATGTGTGGGTGAAACGACGCCGAGCGCGTATTTACCGTGATTCCCACAAGCTGTTCTAACGGGACACAGCCTGCCAGCTGAACTCCCGTGCGATGCATGGTCCAGGCCAAATACGGAATCTTCTCCGAGTGTCGTGTTGTCATGTCACGGGGCAACATGCGGATACTGAAGAAACGTTCCTTCGGCGAAGACTTGGTCTCGTAGCGGACGAAGTACGCCCCCTGGCAACAGAGGCTAATGTAGTGGAGAAACACCTCTGACATGTGGTACTCGGCAAGATCGGCGTAGCGTGGCAGAAAGAGGTCGCGGCTTCGAAGTAGGCTCAGGACGATGGTGTGACACGGGTGCCGTATCCATGCAAAGCCACAGGGTTGGGATGCACTCAAGACCCCTGGTGGCACAACAGGTTCCGCGTCAAAGTCAAGGAGAACCGACTCCGTCAACGACAATTCCGAAGCTTCTGGTGCGAATGAAGAGGAGGAGGAGGAATCATCATCATTCAAGGACGAGGAAGACGGTGTTCTAAGCGGAATTCGTTCCGCATCGCGACGCGGGGCTCGACCTGCACTCCCAGGCGCAAAAATGCTTTGGGCGTTATCATGCGATCTACTGTGGCTCATGCCCCATCCGCATCGTGCAACCGCACCGCGCGTATCAACGTGAGTGGCAAAGGTGGAACCACCGCCACCACTGCTACTAACGTTGATGCGCCTGTTCATCCTCCCACTGTCTTTGTTGCTTCTGGCGCTGGCGTAGCCCTTAATAATGTTCCCGTTGGACGCGTCATCCGGTCGCGACGAGTGAAGGCCAATCTCAACCCTTTTCGCCCCCGATGCTTCCGCAGGCAGAAACACGCTAGCGTTGTGTGGCGTGGGAGAGCTCTGATCATACCCACTTATTGTGTCATTGTTGTTTGTGTATCTGCTGCTATTATTGTTGTGGTTGCTGTCGGAGGAGGTGGCGGCGCTGGCAAACGCATTCCAGCAGCGCGGTCCTCCCGCATTTGTTGTGGTGTTGGCCGTGGATGGGCCTTGCCGATCATTGCCCGAAACGTCCAAGTTCGTGCGATCGTTTGGCGAGGCCCCGCTCCTGTTGATACTCAAATTTGGCACAAAGGCAGTAAGGGGCGCCTGTGCGCCGCCACGCCGCATGTGTATCGTATGCAGCTCTGTCCTGTCGGGGGGGTGGGGCTTCTCGCCCACCACGACAACGACAACGACAACGACAACGCCACCGCAATCCGCACGCTTCAAAGAAAGAAAGGGTAAAAGAAAGGAAACAAACTAACAAACAAAGAAACAAATAGAAAAGCATGTGAGGAGGATGCAACGGGAAAAAATTGAGAACACGAAACAGAGGGAGAAAGAGAGAGCAACGCAACGCCGTTGTGAGGGCACTAACATTACATTGGCTAATGGGGGAAAAAAAACACCGGTTCCTCCCAGTGCATCGATTGTCATCTCTGCCGCATCGAGGCTGTGCTTGTTGCCGTCGGTTACTCCGTTTGTCTTAAGAGGCTTACTCCCCCTCGTGGTACCGCAGATAGAGATCCTGGAGGGTCTGCCGCACACTCTGAACGGTCTCTCCCATCTTCTCAACCTGCCGTTGCAGCTCCTGCATCATACGTGCCGTCATTTCCGCCGCCGTCACAGTGTCATCGCCGCACCACGCGTTGCACGCGGCAAACCACTTCACCCACCATTGCGGCATGGTGGAAGGGTAGTAGCGATCCGGCAACATCGCCGGCAGAAATTCGGTCTCCACATGACGGACAATCCAGGCCCGCCTGGCGTTGCGCCGGCCAACGTCACCATCAAGTGAGTCGTGCTCCACCCGGGACACCTTTTTCTTGCGCCTGCATGTCCCTCCCTCCTTTTGATTCCGGCCATAAAGCCGGTGATACTTCCTTGACGCAGCCTCGTACGCAATGGCAATCCTGTCGGCAAAATGGCGTCGCCATGATGAATACGAGCGTCCATGCGGCCTCGAAGCACCTTCATCGCTTGAAAGCCTGTCCCTTGAAGCAGTATCACGAGTATCCCTTCTCACAGGTTGTTGTCGGTTACCTCCGTATTTGTCGCTGCGACGATGAGCCGCGACAGAAGCTTCCGCAGACACCTCGCCAGCAAGAAACGATGGAGTCGTCACAGTAGTGCCTGGTATGGTCGTGGCGGTGAGATCACACTGCGAGTTGTCTGTGCGCGTCGCGGAGGACGATCGCGACGACGCACTCGAGTTCCCCTCATTGCTCCCGTAGTCATCCAGAAGGTACCCAATGGTGTGCACGACCCCCATCAGGTCATCCTTCTGCCCCATTGGCTTCCCCAAAAAGCCACGTCGACTATGCCACCACCCCCTGTAGGGTCGTTCGTACAAGGAAGTCGTGGAGGGAGAGGCACCAACGCCGACACTACCACGGCCATAGTCAATGATTTTAAACATGAAAAAGGAAGTGCATGCAACGGTGCTTGGTGTACCGTTAGCGCCATGCCAAGTTAAAGACTTATTCACATTACCATTTAGAATTTCCTTGAAGTTCCAGCAGAAGTTCTCTGGTTTGACGCTGCGGTGGGTCACGCCCCGCTGGTGAATCGCGCTAAGCGCCCGCAAGAGCTCAATCCCCACGAGGCAGAGCTCCTCCTCATGCAAGATGAACCGCTCTGTGAAGGCAAACAGGTCGGGGCCCAGGAGCTCTAGGCCAATTGCGACATATTTCCCTAACTCCTGAGTAAAAAAAAGCTTGGGGGAAGGGGGTGGTAATGGATGCGTAGGCGTAAGCAAAGATGCAGTGGACGGACCGTCATTAGCGGCCTCAGTAACTTCACCGTGCGCCCCTGCCTTCGCTTCCCCACGAAAGCTTTCCAAATGCCTTAAGCAAAATATCTCACGTTGCACATGACGAGACGATGACGAGACAAACTTCACTGCCATGCATGCGCCTTCTGTTGTTGTGGCCTTTCCAGCATCGGTCCCATCCCAATCGCCTTCGCTGCATTGCAGAGCTGGGTAAAGTAAGGCGTGTTGCTTTTTCCGAGGAGCTGCCTCACGTTCTTCAGCAACTGTAAATTCACTTCCAGAAACCCTGCGCGCCAAAAACACACGACTATTATTGCCGCTCTCTATGGGATTCAGAATCTGGAGTGGAATTGGGAGTGTGTGGAGAGAAACTGGCGAAAGGGAGCGCGACGAAAAAGATGAAGACGAAGTCGTCGCGGTTTCCATAGTTGATGAAAGCGAAGAAGATCTGTCGCTACTGCAATCATTTATGTTAAAAGCGCGCCGAACACCTTCTTCGCCGAGGTCGGCGCCAGGAAACTCCGGTACGGCCGTCGCTACCCGCCCCGAAACGTCACCGCGGAGGCCCACGTCCTCTTGCCTGGGCCGCTTTGCTGGCATGCTCTCCTCGAGCAACGACTCAGAGCGCCCGCATGTGTCGGCTTGCATTCCCCCTAATGGCTGAAACACATCTTTGTTTTTGTTTTTGTTGTGCGTGTGTCCAGTGGAAGTCGCGAGAGAGAGGGAGAGAAGGAGAAAAAAGAAAAAGCTAGGAAAGCCACAGCCGAGTAGTGAGAAGAGAGGGGTGGGGCGGGGAATGAAAAGGATGCAACCAAAAAAAAAAAAGAAGCACGCACTCCCGAGGGTATTCTCAGCAAGACGCAAATGCGTGGCCGTACCGCACATTTACCCTACATGATACATGGTGAGAAAAGCACCCTCACAGACCGCTTAATCCCTCTCCACTTCTACCCCAAGCATATATTTTTTTTTCACCCGCGACGAATGGAGGATGGCAAGGGCTGGTGCCTGACACCCCTCCCCTCCGCTCCCCCGCTTCCACACTTTGTGCGTGCGGGTGTGCGTGGGGACTTCTACATAAACAAGAATGAGGCACACACACACACAAAGAGAGAGAAAGAGAGATGCAAGAAAACAACATTACTCTTGTAATATAATGCCGATGCTGATGTTGTCCTTTTTTTTCTTCATCGCTTTCCTTTTGCTCTTCTCTTTTTTTTTTGTTCTTCCTCCTGGGGGAGGGCGTGGGTGGTATTATTAGCTGTTTCTTCGCCTCATGCTGTTGAGTTGCGCGTTGCAGCTGCAGTCGCAGTGGGGAGGTCCTCCGCTCCTTCCCGCCTCCACTCGCCCACCCGCCGCAGAGACAAGTTCCGGCCGGCTTCCGCGGAACAGCCGCGGGGGCTATTCGGACTTCCCCCCGGTCTCCTTCGGAGGAACAGTGTCATTCGCCGCTTCCACGGCCACTGCTGCGGGGGCCTTCCGCTTTAACTCCTCCGGCCCGAGGCACACCATATCCACCACCGCCGGGAGCACAAAACTGTCGAGCATGTCGCACACCAGATTTTCTGTTGCATCCGCGTCGGGAAATTCCACGGAAGTTGCGGAGAGCTTTTCCAGACGGTTGTACTCCGCATCAATGGCCTCCTCCATCGCACACTCCTCCCCAGCGGTGGTGTAAAGTTGATGCGAGTAGCACTCAACCACGTCATCAATGGCGCGAATGTAGGCGGCGTACTGCACAGCTTCCTTGTCGTGAAGGATGCGCTCCTGCGCACGAAGCTCAGCCTCCTTCGCCTCACGCTCTGCCCGAACAGTCTCTGCCTCACGGCGAAGCTCCTCCAGAGCGCTAAGGTCACGTTGCCGTTCTAGTTCATGGAAGAGGTAATCCAGAGTTTCCACAATGGTATCACCCTGCGCTGCGTCGCCAAAACTATCAGCGATCGCCTCAAGACGTTTAACCCTCTCCTCCTCTTCCTTCTCCTCTGGAGTACGTTCAGCGTACTTGGCGTTGGATGCAGCCTGGAGTTCTTCAATAAGCCCACGGCAGCGTTCCTTGCCGTCAAAGAAGTCATTCTGAACCGCACGACCACGGAGCAGGCGTTGAAGAAGAATACAGGCTTCCTCCAAACTCTCTTCCGCATCGTCTTCAAGCTCCAACTCGGGTGTGTCCGGGCGCTGAAGACGAGGAGTGGCACGATACAGCTCTATCACGCGCATCTTTTCCGCCCGGGAATCGCCCTTATGTATCTTCGCGTTCACGTACTCAAGTGCATCCACCACGCGGGTTGCCTCACGCCGTTGATACAGAGTTGGTAATGAATTAATGGCGTAATTTTCTGGGGTCACAAAAGCATTTGGTGGTAACCGTTGAATGCGTGGTACCTTAACCTCCTCCAGCTCCCTGACGCCTTCTTCAAGCGTAAGCATGGTCGGTCTTACATCGTAGTGTCGGAAGTGCTCGGAAGTTTCCATCGGTGCCGGTGGAGCGGATCTACTGTGTGAGACCTGCGTGGTGGTAGCAAGGGCACCGTACTTGGAGTAGGTTTCAATCAAATCCTTCTTCGGCTTGTACGACTCGACAGGATTGACGGCGTACATTCCACAGGCCACGGAGGGTGCGGTTTTAGAGGCCTCAGCCTCCAACAAGTTTTGACCTCTCGCAATGCGCTTCACCTCCGACCGCTCAATGACACGTTTGAGGTCCGCAAGCTTCCGTTCCTTAACCGCCTCCAGCCGAAGACGATTGGCCTCCTCCCGGGCCCGCTCCCGCTCCATCAGGGCTTCATGAATGCCGTCAAGGCGGCGTTGGCGAATTTTCGCCATGTGTTCTTCGCACTCTTTGCGCTCCTGTGCCTCCAGTTCATAGAGGGCGCGGTGACGCACCTCCGCCGACTTCGCATCTGTCGCTGGCGGCAGCGACGCCTCCAGTGCGCGCCGACGCCGCAGCCGCTTAATAAGTTCCACTTCCTCCACACCGGCAGGGAGGCCGTCGTTCCACTTCAGTTCACGGATACCCAGCACCTCCGGATTGGGGTCGCCGCCTTCTGGGATGTAATACTCCGGCGTGTATGGCTCTGTCTGTGCCTCGTTCTCGCGGTACACAGTTTGCATCCCAGCCTCACGTGAAGTTTCGGTTTCGTTCTTTGGTGTCGTGGATGCCTTTGGCGCCCCCTCTCCAGCTCGGGTGACGCGCTTCTTTATCGCGGGCAAGTGGTGCGGCCGCGCCTTCTTTTGCCCCGAAGCAGACGCCGTGCGGCCCGGAAAGGAAGCGGCCTCGAACTGCCCCACCGTCGGAGTCGGCGTGGCGGGGGCACTCGTCGCAAAACGGACGCTGTCGATGTCCGCGTACGCGCTGGGGATGCTGCGCGCCTCCGTGGGACGGCGGAAGTACCGCACGCGGTCACGGCCGGCCACCTCCGTCGTGAAGCCGTGCGCCCCCATCACAGACGGCGGATGCCGCTGTTGTTGTCGGTAGTACATGATGCGGCGGCTGGCCTAAAGGGCGCAAGCGGGAGCCAGACACAAGTGAACAGAGATGCAGCAATAAGGGAGAAAACAAAAATAAACTAAAAAAAAATCTTCTTCCCCTATTTGCCGTTGGCAACACTGGCAACTTCCAACTAAGAAGTGATTTATAGCAACAGGGCAGAAGAACGGGAGCAGAGAAAGATTCAATTCTGCGAGTCGGGCACTTAAACGTCAACAGAGCACATGTCTATCGGCGCCAAACATTTACACACACACACACACACACAAAAAGAAACAGTATGATGCAACCTTCAGCACTCTCGAGTCCTCAAGATTCTGCTGCGTTCCATCGGAAGATAGACGCCTTCACACGCCTATTCACCCGCGTCAGATACGGCCGGAATGTGTAAAAGGTGTACATTATAAACGGGAAACGAAAAAACTCCAGCATTTCATTGATCACAAAAGCAAAACCAAAGTCCACGTATTTGCCCCACGCCTCCACACGCGTGTAAAACCACTCCTTTTCCACGTAGCCGCCCAGGAAAAAGAACATGTATTCATACGCTGTTTCCTTCCTGAGAATCCCTGTTGCGAACCCTATATATAGTGCAACGAGACAGCCCAGATAGGCGGAAATGTAGAGCAGTGTGAAGCCCAGCCCCTGTCGCTTAAAAAAAGCAATACCCTTTCGCCAGCGCCGCACATTGTAGTCCCGCATCCGGTCCATCTCGGAGTCAAAGACTCGATCCGTCTCCTCTGCAATACGCGCAAATCGGTCCTTGCGTTCCTTTGAGTTTCGCAAAAGCCTCTCCTTCGTTGGATTAACAGCCGTTGCCTGCGCGTCATTCTCGCTTATGTAATCCTTTGTGCTCTTTGTAATCCATGGAGCCGCCATGGCACGGTTCTTTTTATTAATTCCACGCAGCGTCGCAGAAGTCTGCTCATACTGCACACACCGCACTGCGATAAGAAATGCGCCTGGACAGGAACCACAAGTGTTGCTAAGGGGCAAAACACGACGTGAAGCAGGCAGGCGAAGCGCCGTTGTGGAGCAGCTTAAAGAATTCCTCTGTCCCCAGAGGCGTTGGACACGAATCATTATTGGCTTCACAACGCCCACTTCTCTCCTCCACTGCCAGCGTATGTGAAGAATATGATTTCGTCACCCCTATCGTGAGATTAGTGGGCCCAGTAGCGCCACGTATAAAGCCGTCCAACTCCCTTGCCGCTGTCGTCGTCGTCGCTTTACGCTTCCTATGTGTTGGGGGTGGTGCGTCTTTCTGTGGCTCCCGCAGGGGGTAGGGAGGAATGCGGGTTCAAAGCCTCCACCCAGCGCCGGCTATTCGCCCTCCCCCCAAAGACAACAATTAACAAGAAGAACGGCGATAGCTAACAAAAAGGCATCGAGAAACAACCAAACAGAGTAACTTACAACCATAGCACAAAAAAAAAGAAGTGGGATAAAGAAGACTTAAAAAAAAAAGGGGGGGGTTACCAGAGAATAGTTTTGCTCCTTCCGCTTCTTCATTCTCTTCCTTCCGGAGGAGGAAAGGCCGAGGGTTGTCCGCCATGCCCTGGGCAGCGTGCCGTTCGCGCCTCAAAACCGCTGCGGTGACGGCATCGCCTCTCCAACGGTCTCCAACTCCGCCCCCTCCGCCGCCGCGTCATCGAATGACGGCTTTGCCGCCTTCCTCTTGATCACCCGCTGTTTGCTCTTGAAGAAGAGCGCCGCGGTGGCCTCGGCAGTCCGAGTCGCGCGAAGCAGCTCCTCCACCTGGTGCTCCTCCTCCTCAGCTGCGGCGATGGACGAAGCGTCATCCTCCTCGACGTCGCCCTCGCGGTCCTTCTCTTCGTCGTGGCCGCCCACCGCGCCAAGAAGCACGCCCGACCCATCGGCGACTAATCCGTCATAGCCGTCAACATCGCCTGCGAGTCTGTCATTGGTGTGGCTCACGAGCCTCTCTTCGCCTTCGCCTGCATCATCACAGTTGACCCCAAGGCCACCATCGCTACTGTTGGAAATAGTACCACTTCCATGGGCCCTGTCAGCCGCGCTGCACTCGTGCTGGGTGTGGGGCCCGACAAGGGCGGCATTGATGACACCTTCCAAACTAAAATCACCCATCCCCTCAGCGGCACTGTTGCTGTCGTCGCCCACCCACTCAAAGAACGCCTCCTCCATGGTGTGCCGGCTGCTCTTAAGACTCGCCCCACCGCCATGCTGCACACCAACACCGCCCTCATCATCGTCGCCATCAGCTCCTTCACTGCGGCCAAACATATCTTCCACAGTGGCGAGCGGCGCCTCCTCGGCCGCTGCCGCGCAATTGCACCACAGCGTGGTTGTACTTGATGATGATCTTGTTGCCGATGTCGTTGCTCTCGCGGCAGTGCAGTGATGTGTGTGGCGCAGAGCAACGGTGAGTGAGGCCTGCAGAAAGAGGGCACGGCGCAACATCATCGCTCCTGCCGCAGGGAGTACCCTCCAACTTGACTTCTATGTATCTATCCCTCTGCTTCCCTTGGACGCCACAAACACACACAGACACACGGCACCGTGCTGTACACTTGTCGCCACATCCGTTTCACAGCAGAAAGAAAAAAATAATAACAACAGTATAAATAATAACTGCAGTTTCAGATGGGAAAGGGAGCAGTTTCCTTCGTGCCATGACACGGCATTTTTTTTTCTATTTTCTTTGTCACACGCATTCACTCCCTCATTCACCCACAAACGTCCACATGCACACACACTTCCTCTCCCTCTCTAGCGTCTGTTCCCGTTTCCGGGCGCCAAACGTTAATACGCAAGCAACAACAACGACAACAACAAGAATTAAATAATAATAATAAAAAAAGCGCTATAAATCATATAAACGATAACCCACAGAGAAGGGTAGGGCAGACGCCTTCCGCGTAGGTGAAAACAAAAAATGTCTAAAACAAAATGACAGGGGTGCTGGACATCCTAATATTGTTGGAAAGAGCTATAACACGCGTGAATTCCTCCGTCGCCATGCCGTCAAGCTCCAGTAGGTTTTCATACCCTCGGCTCCAGTCGGCATGCAAGGCCTCTCGTTGCTCACGCTCCTCTGCCCTCAATGGGCCTAGAGCGTAGTCAACACAAACGGGCTCAAGTGCCTCAGTTTCCGCTGCGAGCCCGTGTGAAGCCCGCCGCGTTGAACCTCCATCCTCCTTGCTCGTCAAGGACGAGCATCTCGATGTGGTCTTCGACCTGGTACCGGAATCGAGCCGCGCCGAATGAGACAAGCAGAGTAAAGAAGAGCCGGGGTTAACGCCGTCGGCGTCAGCCCACGGACACCGACGGTAGACGTTTCCCTCCGCATCGCAGCTGCTGACGCCGCTTTCCGTGTCACTCAGCGTCATGCCTTTTGCGCCAATAAGCAGCGACGTTTGCTGCAGGCTTTGGAGTAGTCGAAGGTCCAACCAGTGCCCCATCGCAGCAAACTCAATGCCGCTTCGCTGGCTTTGCTCTTCAAGGAGCAACTCTTGTCGCTCCCCCATTAACTCCATTTCCCAGAACACGGAAGTGTATTGCGGCTGTGCGTCCCGCTCCAGCCCTGCCCGCTCTTGTCGCTCCTGCTCAAGAAGAGCCGCGATCGCCGTCTCCGTCGCGGTGCGGAGACCGTCAAGAAACATGCTGCGGACGGCGTTGCGCTCGCGCTGCTCGTTCCCTGGACGAAAGCGGCGGTGCAAAGATGGCGGCAACCCGCCCTGCGACAAAGCGCTGAACTCCGCCCTGTCCTCAGGGTGCAAAAAGAAGCTACCGCAAATGTGGATTCTCCTCGACTCCTCCTCACGCAGGACGTTCTCCATCTGCAGCGCGACGGCGTCAACAACACGTCGCGAGAGCCAAAAGTCGGTCAGGCGCTCCTCCAGCTGTATCACGCCGTGCTCCTCCAACTGCATGACTTCGGCTCGCGCCTCCTGTTCTTCATAAAAGAGGCAGGCTTGTGCCTCCTCCAGTCGCTCATTCTCGCTGTCGAAAAACGTATCCACGCCACTCTTGTCAAGCTGCTGCAACGGAGCATCGGACCTCACCTCTTCAAAGACCACAAGTTTGAGTAGTTCACCACTCGTCGCGTCCCGGCGCGGCTCTGACAGTGTCCTACGCTGAACTTCGTCCTCTGCCGTCTCCCCCGCGCTGTGCACCGAGGCCAGGGTGACTTCCTCAACTCCGCCGAAGTAGAAGCGGCCGCTGCTGACAGAGAGGCACGCATCCGAGGTCATTGAGCTAGCCCCCCCGCCCCGCACAACCTCATCTGGCGACCCGCAGTAGGCATTTGAGCTCCCCCACGAGCCCCTCCTTCGTCGCGGTGTTTTCTCGGCATCCTGGCACACTCTGCTTGTTGCCACCTCCTCCAACTTAGGCGTTTCCCACCCACTCCTTCGCTTCCCCTCATTCCAGCGACCACTTCCGCGAGAGGGGGAAGACTCCTGCTTGACGCCCCGCAGACAATCTCTTACAGCAAGAGCTAACCGCCGTCGACAACCCTCTTCTACAATTGTGATGAGGCCGCGTGCCGCGCTCTCCTCGTCGGAGAGGATGATAGGCTGCCGCTTCAGCGCCAGTTCACTGTTTTTCCATCGTTTATTATCCTCCCGCCGCCCCGCCAAGGGGTGTCTCGCCGCCCACGTGGGAGGTTCCTTCTGTCTTATGGCATACTTTGGGGTCTTGTTGACCTGTGAAGTGTTGAAGATACTTGGTGACTTCAGCCGTGCAACAGGAAGCGTCAGGCTGTTGAGAGGTGCAGACAGCCTTTCCCAATGCTCTTGCCGCTTAAGACGACAAAGCAATGAAAAAGCCTCCTCCTCGATGCGATTTCTGGTTCCCGCCTCTCGGTCGAGTAGCAAGGCCCAAAACTCTACCAATGCGCCAATGTCAGCGCGGCGTCTGAAAATCTTCCAGTCAGCAAGGTCCTCCCCGAGCAAGTGCGCATGCATAAGCGATGCCCAGCGTGTCGCTGTCCTCGCTACTTGATAAGCGCCGCCCGCAACACGGTTGCCACGGCTCGCCTTCTTGTCGGTTGCGTGGCAAGAAGCTCTCGATGCTAGGCAGAGCTGCTCCTTTAGCTTCGGCAACATATGGCGTACTGAAGTCCGGAAAAGGATTGGGGTTGACTGCGCCAAGGAGAGTTGATCCAGGGCAAGGGACGCCTCTGCTTGGCGTGGCCGTAGAGCTTGAGGGGAACAAAGTGACGAATGCGCGGGTCGAAGCGTCTGCGGGCCCAATCCCAAGGATGGGCTGTGGTACATGCTCGTTTTGCGAGAATTGGCCGCCGCAAACCGTGGAGTTCCATTCGGCGGAGCACGTGGCGAGGCGGTCCGGTACAATTCGGGCGGAGACAGCTGGCACCGCATAAGTAACTGCTGTGGCGGCTGTTGCTGCTCCACGGCTGCCGCAGACGTCACCCAAGTCATCCCACGGGTCGTAAAAGTGCTGGGAAGGTTCCGTCCTCCGCCGTGCCCCGTCGATACTCCCTCTTCCGGCTTTTTGCCCACTGCAGCTGCTTAGATTCAGCACACGGAGAAACGACAAAGAAAAAAGAGGCATTGCGCGACACGGCCGCACCAGTAAAAGTTTGCCCACACAGCGAGAGGAGATCGCCAAGGCAAACATTCATCTCCGCACACGCTTACACATGCGTGCACGCTCATACGTACGCATACACACACCTGTCCCAAAGGTGTACTCCACATAATTCGACTTTGGGCGTCGTAGAAAAAAAAAAAAACGGAGAGTCAATGCGGCATCTGCAAGTCCAGCCTGGCTGGTAATGTTCCCGGTGGTGGCAAAAGAAGCGCAGCAGCCGTCCTCCCTCCCCCAGTCCGCTCAAAAAAAAAACAGATAAGAAAAGATGACAGTAAGAATAAAGTAAAGCCTAGGCATACAAAAGGGAGGGCGGGAGGGAGCGAGCTAGCGAGGCCGGGAGAAGTAAATAAACGAAGATGTACAAAAAGTAAAAAGAAACAACAACAACAACAGGAAAACGGGAAAATGTGTACCGGTGATGGGGAGAGGAGAAGGGGTGATAGACACATGGATGCATAGAACGCAGGATGGTGACCCGAGCCGCACTCAAAAGCATCACACATGCACGATTTCCTCCCTTCCTCTTGTTGCCTCAACTTCCTCCCCCTTCGCCAGAGTTTCTTTTTTGTTCGCTTGTTTGTTTGGTTGTATTTCACTCTCCATCCGCATCTTCTTCTATACAAGGACTCTATAGATCACCTCCCCGCGTCCTCCCTTGATTTTCCGTCATCACATCCAAAACGGATCAAGAAAGAAGGCGGGAAAAAAAGCAGTACATCCCAGGAGACACGCATACACACACAGAGAGAGAGCGATACATCTCTTTGAGGATGTGCGCCTGCATGCAACATACGTGGAGAATGAGGGGAGCAGAGGGAAGTGCTAGAAACACGAAACTCCATCCATAAACAATCAATAGGAAGTGAGCTCACAGATAAATATTAAACCAGAGATAAAAATAAATCACTTGGACGGCACTTAGGGGGTCGAATTGCACGCAATATGTCTGCCCCCATCTTCAGGTCCATTCCCCACGACGTGTGAGTGGGTGGACGATGTGCGCCGAGCCCATTGACTTTGAAGACGCAGACACATTTATACGTACATAAATGTGAATGGTCACACAAAGATACTAGAAAGCAGCGGGATAGAATTCATTCAAGAACAACATGCACTCACTTTCGTGAGCCTACCGCGGCCAGGACTCCCATTTTAATTTTAGTTTTCTCCTCTCTCTCTCTATTTCACTCGCACGTTGCGTGAAGAGTTCCACACCCGCCCTCGCTGCGGCGAGTCCCAGTGAACGCCCATCACAGGCCTGCCCCTGCGGCGTCGGAATGAAATACCAGCGCCGCGAGGATGAAGGCCGCTGTGAGTGGGCCCACAGTGAAGGCGGGGAGGGAACAACAAAAACGGGGGCAGCGAGGGACAACCCAAGTCGGAGGCAGACAATAAAACACGGCCGGTGTGGTGCCCAAACCACACCAACGGAGGAGTGACAGAGCGGGGGAACGACGGGGCAGAGTAAGGCGGCAAGAAACAGCTACAAAAATGCAAAAGCAAAGGCAAACATCACAATTTTAGTCCACACAAGCGCAGTCTGCATGCGAATGATGTGCCACCAACAAGACATCTCCTGCGGCTCGTTGCTCATTCCCCCCTCCCCCCGTTTCCTTCAGCTCATTCACACCTTTTTTCATCCTACTCCCAGAGAAACAGAGACGGGGCCTGCGCGGAGCATAATACTCCGCCCTCTCGCCAATTTGCTGTAACTCAAACATTTTACTCCTCATCGCCCTCGCACACTCTCCTCCGCTGCGGTCGCCGCCTCCGCTTCACACGCGCAGCGGAGGATAGCAACGTAAAAAAAAAAAAAGAAAAACAATAGCACCCAACATCAAACAGAAAAAAAAAAAACACAGTGCGAGGAGCCTTCTGCCACATATGCCGAGAAAAAAAAAGCGCACGCACATAAACAAACTCCGAGGTCTTTCACCTCCAGGCATCCACGTCAAACCGAATACGTGGTTGTCCATCTCTTCATAAAGCGATCCATCTGTATCGCTCTCCCCCCAGCCCCACCGCACTGTTGACTCCTCTCTGCGCGTGCAAGGGAGACGGCATAACGGCATCTGCGTGTCCGTGCATGAACACACCGCCACGAGAGAGGCTGGACAAGGTTGCGAAATAAAAGAAAATAAAAAAAACACAATCCACGGTAGAACTTGTGTTTATGCATGTAGATAAAAATACATATGCTGAAACAGTATGCAAAAGAGAGAAGAGCTGAACGTATGCATACAGGTGCAGAAAGAACAGAAAGAAAATGGCAGTAATAATACTATGGACATGTTCATAACACATTTCCATACAAAGAAAATATATGCGAGTGCGAGCGTGTATGTATGTTTGTTTCAAGAAACACGTGTTATACACGCTTCCGTGCTTTCGCCTCCCTCCTACTATATACATGGCGCTCCAGAGAAAGGAGTAGGCGAGATAACCCTTCACTTTCCTAATCACCGTAGCTTTATTTATTGATATTCTTCTTGTTGTTGCTTTTTTACTTGTGCCTCTCTTATTCCCTGCAGTGAGCTTCACTCGGGACAGAGGCGCGCCCAAGGCGCTCCAAGAGGGCCGCAGAGCGGAGAACTGAAAAACAGGAGTGTTTTCAGCGAAATGCACATTGGGCGACGCGTTCCGGCGACCTCGATTTACAGTCCCGCCATATGCGCAACTTCAATTCGCTTCCGGCTGTGGAAAGCAGCGAACCGTCAGGAGAGAGTGCCATGTAGAGCGACGCAATGTTTAGGCCGCAAAGCCCGCCCAATCGCTCAAACGATGCACCGCCATCTTTCAGTCGAAACAGTTGCAGCAGACTCACCCCTTCTGTGGAGTCAGAAGGTGGAGAGCGCATGTGTGGCAAAGCCGGCGGTGCCCCTGCCGCCTCCATACCAAGAAACAAATGATGCCCCTGTACCGAAGCGTTTCCCGATGCAATGCCGCCTGCACGGCTACCGTGGATGCGGTGATGGCTTTGCTGTGTAAACCAGATGGGGTCGTGCCGATCGACGTATGAGACATGATGAATTTCTTCTTCTTCACCGGAGGAGTCGGAGAAACCCCAGCTGTTGAAGTTTCCCAAGCGGCTGTCATTGGCATCATACACGTTAATGTTCACGCTGCCGTCTGTAGCGGGCGCGGCCTCACTCTCCTCTGCGTGGCGTACATGCCCCACTTCGACGTCGGAGGCATCAACAGATACAATGATCTCCTCAGATGTGTCACTGCTCACGATAGCCAAAATTGGGGCTGGCAGGCAATACATCGCCTTGTGGCAGCGACTGCCGACACAGTAAGCAGAGAGAACAGATCCATCGCTTCCACCGCCGTAAATAAGGACGGAGTGCAGGAAGTCAAACTTGCCGCCACTGCTGGGAATATGGTGTGTCTCCACCGCAGAATCATTTGAAGTGTTAAACGGAAGCGTCCACCAGCAGAAGGCACGAACAGGTTGTGAAGCCCCAGAAAAAACAACTCGGCACCTCGTCCGATTTCCTGGACCCATACTATTCGTTTGGTAAACAAAGAGGCTATCGGTTGTTCCAACGGCAATGTGCTCCCCATCAGGCGCGACCTCCACCTTGTATATGGGTGCTCCGATAGTCACGGAATATTCGACTGGAAACGACTTGTAGGTGAACAAACCCCGATCCATAACTTCAGTTGAGGTATGCCAAGAGACAGATCCATCGCGGAGGTTGCGAACAGTTAAGGTCCCATCCATGCAGCCCGAGTACAAAACATGTCCCACAACGTGCAAGGTGCTAACGTGAGACATGGAACCCTTAAAGAAGGTCTGATTTCTTTCTTCCGCCATGACACCAGGCGGCATAGTCTGAGATCCACTCCACCCAATAGAAACACCGTCACCCACGTGGTACTTTAACACCACAATGGCCCCATCACTCATACCAATTGCCAAGTAGAGGTCACCCACCTCAGTAGGCCGCCTAGAAGAGGTGACGGCGGTTACAAGGGTAGATCCAGCTGGAGTTTCAAAGAGAAGACACGCTTCTACGGACTCTTGCCACAGATACACACTTCGTTGCAGCGCAACGACAGCACCCATATAACCCCAGCTTAGTGGACTAAAAGTTGGGCGACCCTGAGAATCACACAAGGATAATCCTTCAGCAGCAAGAACGCGACAACATCTTTTTAGTTTTAGATGCTGTGCCACATGATGTGAATAGAACACACTCCTTCGCGAAACTGGGCTTACACCCTGTAAAGCTGCAACATTGCCTGTATGACCCCCCGGAGACTCTGCCTGCAAAATGTGATTTTCATTTCTTACAGGAGTACGCAGTTGAGGCGAAGAAGCTGAATGGAAGTTCGCATTGCGCCCCGGATTGGGGCTTGTCGTGACGGCGCCGACCGCGTCGCTGCCCCTAGGCCCATATCCAAGGGAAGCTACTCCGACGCTGTTGCGGACAGGCGTTGTCCAGTGAGCATCGCCACGCTGAGTCCAGTTATACGGGCTGCCGATGCTGGGGCTAACCTCAACAGCGGATGTTCGAAGCTCCTGAGAGCGCATGCCACACTTCCTCGACAACCCTGGCGGGGTACGACAGTCGTCCCCGACATCAAGGTGCGCGGTTGACGCAGGCATGGGTGAAGAAACGGCTGATGTGGTCCCATGATACGACTGGAAACGTATCCTAACGCCATCGATGCGGTTTTTTACGGGCGTCGAGGGTGGCGTGTGAAACCCATCGTGTGGTTCTTCGTCTGTCTGTGTCAGGAAGTCAGCGTTGCGCATTGACGGTTGCGGTCGCCCGCCCTTCTCCGGCGTCTTTGCCTCTCGGTTCATAGGGCCTGGGGGAACCAGGTGGCTGCCGCCTCCATCCAACTCCAGGCGCGGGAATTTAGAGGCATGCTCTTTGTTGTCAAACTGCATGAGGCCGCCTCCACCAAGTCCCATTTTGGACGCAAGTGTCCTGCGGTAACGCGCCTCTGCCCCACTGTCTGCCGCGTGCGTACAAGTGTCATGTGGGTCGTGAAGGAATTTCTTGGAGTCAGCGATGCCAATAAAGCGATCCTCCACCGTCTGCGGCTGTTTGAAGATCGTGTCGGCGGAGAAGCCACTTTCCCAGCGATCTGTGGAGTACGTGCACGAGGGCGAAAAGAAGCCAGTCATCGTATCTTTTCGCATCAGCAGGCGTAATGAACACTGCGCGGGTCAGAGCCAGAATTACAGCAACGGCTTCGTTGCCGCGCAGCGCGTGCGCAAGAGCGAGGGACGAAAAGAAAAGAAAAGAAAAAATTAAGCACGTAGTGTCAACACTACTGGACTTCAAAAGAAGACAACGGATGGGTGGTCGTAAGTTGTTTAAAAGTAACACAATCGACCCAACGAGTTGTCCTTGTCTATGAGTTGTATATATCTATCTTCTGCAGCAAAAGGCTTACCCAATGACTATCCCTCCGGCCGTATTTGTTGGCTTCGGGGTTTGTTTGCTGGGACCTCCTACCTTTGCAGTTTATATATATATATATATATTTACTCTTTATTGTACACCGCTTCCCCACGCTTGTTTTATGGGGCTTTATGCAGAGAAATCTAGGTGGCGCCGCAGTACAGAAAGGGAGTCCGTTGGGGTGCACCTATAAGAAAAATACACACCAAGCGGAAGGGTTATACTTTCAAGAGCAACAGTATGAAAAAGAAGAAGAAAAAAAAAAGACATACCTGCGCACCCACACGCACAGGGAGGCAGATCCAGAGAGATGGGACTCACAGGTGCACGAATCGACCTTACAAGAGAAAGCACATGATTATTTGTTGTCTGCGAGAGAGAGGGGCCTTGGGAGCAGATTTTTATTTTCCCTACTTCCTTTCCGTTGTACGGACTCGCAGGCTCGTCAAATGCAACCGCTGCCCCCTTTTCACAAAAACAGAGACACACACAGACAGATAAGTAACGTGGTAGTTCCCTCTTCTTCTTGCCCCTTTTCCCTCCTGCTCCAGTCCCACACGAGGACCCTTCGACGTACTCCAGGGCGCTGCTTAAGCTGCGAAGTAGCCCGGCTGCCACCTTCCCGTGAAGGGGGGGAGGATAAAGAGTGGACTTGTTGCTGGCAACGTCAACATTGCCGTCACGTACCAGACAACCACAAGAAGAGCCCCCTGCGAGGCTCAGTCGCAACGAGGCGGCGGTGTACCACGCGATTGTACTAGTTGCCTCGGCGTGGCGGCGGAACAAGAGCCAAGTGGCAAACCACAGCCACGGAAGACCGAAAAATCCTGCGCGGAAGTACCATTTGCAAACGCGTTCCGCCTGCGCCACGGTGAGTGGCTGCCTTGCAAGCATAGGCGGCAGCAGTCGTAACCCTAGTCCTTTCCAGCCACAGCTCCCGCAACTGGAACAGCTCCACCGCGTCAACAGAGCAAGAAGGAAAAGCAAAGCATCGGCCAGTTATGAGATTTACATGAAGAAAGAGGAATTTCTCGTAGTACGGTTGAACCACAAAGACGCGTCGTGCGCACACGCTGAAATGCTGAGTGAGAGTGAGAGAGAGCCACACACACAAACATACGTACAGCAATATTATGTTTCGTTTTCCTTGTTTTTTTTCCACATCCCCTTCATTCTGCTTTGCCACCACGACTTAATACACACACACACACACATATATATACATATATAATTCGGCGTCAAGGTAGGATGTCAGCGAAGCCAATAACGCGGAAAAAGTACATTGCGCAACTACAATACATGAGAAAGATCAAAAGAAAAAGAAGAGAAAAAGCAGGGGAAGGAAAATGTTCGTGTGGTGTGTGCTTATGCGTGCACCCTGGTGCATCTTCGTGCTGCCTCTTTACATTTGGAAGACGAATGACAAGCTCGCAAGAACAAACAAAAACGGCGTCATGTGTGGCTTTCACAGCAAACTTGCAACGGTCAATGAAGGAAAGAAAGCAATAAAAAGCAAACGGAAAAATGCATTCCCTACACACACCCAGGGGAAGAGACACCCAGCTGCCTCTACTCGGAAGCTGGCGACAGTGACGAGGGGATACATGGAAACCGCATTCGCAAGAAGTGTTCATTCGATGGCTTCTGTGCTTCATTCCTTCTGCCTGTCTGCTGTGCCAGCGCGAGTGCCTCTTTTTGGCGTTGTCGCTCTGCGCCTTTAAGACGTGCCAGCGCGGTAACTGCGCCACTTGAGGAAGGTGTCTCCTTCTTCGCCCCTCCCGCAGCCCGCCGCGCGGACAGGGACTCGATTCGCAGTAACTCCCTCTCCTCCTTGTTTGGTTCAACTATCAGTGGATGAGCCGGCCGAGTTGTGAACGGTGCCGTGGGAAAACACGGTGGCAGCTCGCGCCGTCCCTGTTGCTCCAAGAGAAGAGGGGCTGGCGTTTTCTTTTCAACTGAATAAGTTATTACTGGCGGTGGCACTACCTCCGACACAGCCCTGGGTGATATAGCGGGGCGAGGTGATGCATAACTCACAGCGGGCACTACGCTATCGGGTTCAGGAAGAGGTGGCGCTATCAAAGTCGTTGAGAAGTGGACGTTGCGTTGTCGCTCCAGTTTTTGTTGAGCTCCTTGCCGTCCCAGCAGTAGCGGTGCCCGGCGCGTTGGAGTTCCTTCAGCATCGACCCCCTCCTCCTCCTCCTCCACCACAAAAAAGGACCCCTGTTCTGTATCCCAGAATACATACATGGGTCCCTGTCTCTCGCCTAACGGGCGGCCCAACTGCACCCCACGATAGTAGTCAACCACAGTGCCGTGAAACGGGACGACACGCCGCGGACCTCTTCCACCTGCCGCTGCTGCCGTTGCTCTTGCAGCGGCATCTCTGCTTCCCCCAAATGCCTCCACTGCATTGTGAAGACCGAGAGGTTGGTGATATTTCACGTTGGCAATGGGAATAACCTCGTTTTTGAAAATGACGTAGCCATATTGATTGGAAGATAGTGTTGCACACAACTCTCCTGCATCCCGTGCATTCACGGGAACAGGCACATACACCACCTCGTTTCCTGCGTCCCCCTGCCCTTCCCCTGTGGGTTCACACAGATACGGAGAAAAGGCGAGGTTTTTCGCAAAGAATTTCCGCTCAGAGACTGAATCGGCCGTGGAGAGACCCAAGTCACGCAACAGCCTATTAATCGCCCGTGTCAACCATTCCACCGTTTGCTCGTGGGACGAAACCTCGCGAAGTATTCTATCTAGTTCCTCCCCCCTCTTCCCCATACGTGCTGCCTCGGCAAGTTGACGCAACCGTCCACGATGACGAGCACGGTAGGCAATACGCTGCATACGAAGTCGAACAAGAGCCCTAAGTTTATTTTCCTGAGTAAGTGACGGCAAGGAAGTGACGTCTTCTTCATGTTCACTTCGGCTTTTGGAACCAGATGTAAATATAGAAAAATTACTCGGGTCGCCACGCAGTATAGCTGGCAGCATGTCAATTGTTGTTCTTCTCGGGCGCCGATGAGGGGCTTCTTCCCACCTCCGCATTGCTGCCGCCTGCAGTTCGGCAAAGGCTGCCCTTGCGTGTAAGGTCACAGGGTTGTTTTCCCAGAAGCTAATCTGCTCTCGTCGCTGTTGCCGCCGTTGCTGCATCACCAGTTCATGTATTGCCTTATCGCCTGCTTCCTTTGGGACCGACTCCTCCAACGCCCCCGTGGAGGCCGCAACAGTGAAGTAGTCCATCACCACACGTCGCCGGTATGGATCGTCCTCTGCGGTCAGTGCACCGCTCAAGGTGCTACTCACCGTGTCTTCCTCAGCTGCCAAGGCGGCTGCCAGCCTACCCACCTCTTCCACATATGTCTCAAAGAATCCCAGTACAATTCCGACCTTTAACTCAATGGACTCTATCGCATTTTGCAATTCCATCACGTCTTTGAAATGTTGCTCCTGCAACTGTTGCACGGCCCGATAAATTCCAGTGAGATCCTCCAGTAGCGCTTCCCTCACTGGATCCATCGAGGAGGCAGTTGCGCGTAAATCAGACGTCGATAGTCCCCGGCTTTTTCCTCTTTGTCTACTCCAGGCAGCGCTTGGGGTGCGTTGCCGTGCCTCCATCAGCTGTCTTTGCATGAAATGCAACCCACTCGCCTGCTGCCTCCTGTACTTCTCCAATGCGGCTTTCTTTGCGGATATTGCGGTCACCTCGCTTTCGGCCGATGATCCGCTTCCTCTCCTCCGAAGGCGATTCAGCTGCCGGATGTACCGCTCATAATCAAAAATGGCGTCCACGCTGTCATCGCCCAAAAACGGCACGGTCTGTGTTGCCACCCGGGTATGTGAAACTCCCCCATCTGGTGTTGCTTTCACTGCCGAGGTATGTGATTTTTTACCCCTTGTGGTTGGCTTTGCCGCCGCTTTTGGCGTATCTTTCGGGGTTGCCTGGTGTACTACCGTGGCCGGTGCCGCTGCGGCACTTGGCTGTGAGGGGCGTAGCAGCTCTAAGAATAGAGGCGCCGGCTTTCCCGACACTGGACTGGCCGCTGTTTTCTGCGCCGCGGCAGCGCCCTTGGCTGCCACAGCCGACGACGCAACTTCGTGCGCCGCCCCATCCGCCACGGAGCTCTGGGTGTCAGGGGGAGCCACGGCGTCACCGTTTCCACTCGGTGTGGAGCCCTCCGCGGCGGTTTCCGAGAGCGACATATTTCGCGACACTCGTAACGGTTCCACCGCGTCCCCCGCACCCTGCACCCCGCTATCAGGGAGAACGAAGGATGTACCGCGTGATAGAACCTCTTGGGGAGGCAGACACGCGGGCTCGCTCGGCGGCTGGAGGTGGTGTGACCGCCGCCTCCTCCACAAGGCGTCGTGAAGCTGGTACCGCAGCACGAGGACCTCACGGAAGTAACAACGCAACATAAACTGATGCGCCTTGCGGAAGCGCTCCAGGGTCCCCTCCAACTCACGGCATTGCGCTTCGCTCTTGCGCAGTTCCAGCTCAAGATCTCTCGTGCGCTGTTCCAACGCTGCACAGCGCTTCTCCTCCAACGCGAGCTCAACGCCGGGGAGGACGTTTCGGAGCGTATCATCGACAACCCCTCGTACCACGGCTGCACAGACATCCTCTGCGGCCTCGCAGTAGCCTGGTACGAGGGTTCCCAGATGATCCTGGACGCGGAGAACGAGGCGCTGCAGACGTCGCTGCACATCCGCACGGACCTGTGGGTGAACATTGTGAAACAAGAGGAGGCTGTTCACCTCCCGCACCGTACTCTCAACACATAACTGAAATTTGCCCATCGTCAGGCAATGAAGGGCACCGTAATATCCTCGTGAATGCCGCTCTCGGCTTTTGCACCGCGTGCGCCCCTTCCCTTGACCTGGATGAGTTCTTCCAGACGCCTTCCCTGCAAGGCCTTAAAGAAACAAGGACAACAACAGATGTAAAAAGGAGAAAAAAAGTGTGGGAGACGGGTGAGAGAACAGTGGTCGCATAGGAAGTAGACGGCCAGCGCCGTGACAGTGAGAAAAAAAGGGTGGGATGTGGGGAGAGTACTTTTTTAAAGCACCGTAGAATAATAACAAGCCTCATTACCAGCAAAATATATATATCCCAGATGCAGCAACGAGGAAAGTAGTCAACTTGGAAAGCTTCTCTTGGTGCAGCTTAAACGGGAACTTCAACGGCGTCGCCGTGCTTGCGAGGAGAAGGCAACAAAAAAAAGTTACAAGAGAAGACTTTGCATATAATGCAGTTTTGCCTCTTTACGCGCACACGTGTGTATGTCTGTCTATGTGTGAGGAAAGTTTTTCTTTTCTTTTTTTCACTGCACTCCGTCGCTTCGCCCGCGCCCCTCGCCCGCCACACCTCCTCGCTGCGGCAGAGGAGGCACAGTTACAAGGCGCACTTCTTCTGCCTCTCCCGCCACTGCTGTATGCCCCTGGCAAACACGCCTGCCACCATGCCTCTCGGGCAGTACACACTCATCACGCCAATTTTGGAGACACTCTCAACATTGTTCGTTTGGTTGTCGAAAAAGATAAATTGAGAGAAGTCGTCGCTGATGTCAGCGTTTCTTTCTTTTAGCTTGCGAAGAATCGTGCGATGATGACTTGCCTTGTTGGCGGCGTAAATCTCCACAAGGTCCCCAAAAAGTGTGAGCATCGGCACCTGCTTTCCAGAGCTGTCGGTAAAGCGAAAAAGATGTAGGAGCTCCATTGCCCAGCGGGGCTCATCGCACGTGGACGAAAGCGCCAGCGACGTGGAGCTCCATTTCGGATCGGTAAAAAGTTTCTGCAGCAGCTCCCGTGTCTCCCCAAGGAGGCGCACTTTCGTCCCGGCCTTATCAATGGCCGCGTTTGGGTCCTTCGGGTCCGCCTTAAACGGCGCCCCACCACCGCCCCACAACTCAAACATCTCCGGGGCCCATAGTGTTCCGTCTAGGTCAAATACAATAACACGCGGCACACTTTCGTCACTCATCCGTCCTTCTTGTTCCCTCCACTGACAAGCGAAAGCGGGAGAAAAAAAAAGAGGCGCATGCGTGTGCAAAAGCGCACACGCCCATGCAAAGGCATGGTAGCAGGGAGCAATTGCGGGCCACAAAGGACCAATTATGCCGGCCGTCACGTCCGGAGGAAGGTGCCAGCACAACCACCCCCAGCAATAACACACCGTCGATAAATGTCAGGGTGGAAAGCGAGGAAGGAGCAGAGGACGCAAGCAAGGAAGGAAGAGCATCCTCCACTTCCCACGCAACTCTCGCCCCCCCTCCCTCAAACCAGCACGTTTAGTTGTGTGAAAAAAAACCAAACGCACCATAATGCACCTCGAGCGACGCCATGAGTTCTTCTTCAGCACCCCTGTACTCCTCAATAATGGCGCTCACTGATGAAATTTTTTCGGGGTTGTAAATGCCGTAGAAATGCTCCAAACGCTGCCGCAAAGGACGCAGGGTCGCCGTGTCCTTCAAAGAACCGTCGTGGTGACGCTCCCATGGCATGCCGCCACGGATGCGGACGCTGCTCGTCATCTCCGTGCCAAAACAATGTCGTTGCTTTCGTTGTTGGTGGAACTGCTGCTCCCATTCCACGAGAGTTTTCTCCAGCTTTCGCAGCGTCTCACCGCGGCTCGCCTTGTATTGCTCCAAGGAGTGAACAAGCGACTCTACTGTGCCCACAACACGATCGTGTTCCGCCTGCACCCGATCGAACTTGTCTGTTATCTGCCGCAGATGCACCTGCTGCTGCGCCACACACCGCTGCGACTGCTGCAGAATATCCGCGCTGTGCTGCAGAGCAGTTGCAAGTTGCGCATTCTGCTCCCGAAGATTTAACGCCGTACAACGCAACTCATCGTTCATCATCTCGGCCTGCCGCAGTCGTACCTCCAGCGCCTCATCCTCCGCGTCCTCTCCCTGCTGCAGTTCCTCCCGCGTGAGCCGGCTGTGAAAGACGGAAGCCTTTAAAAGTTCAACGTCGCCCAGCCCCTGCCGCATGTCGCGAGTTAACTGTCGCGCCGCATTTGCCAGTGCCTGCACGGAGAGTCTCTCCGCGCTCCCCGCCATCATGGAGGCGCGCTGAATGACAGCGCCCTGCAGCTTTTCCTGCAAGGCACGCATCTCACGTTGCAGCTGTCGTTGCTCACCCCGCGTCGTCATCGCCTCGGTGCGCATGTCGCGCAGTTGAGACTCGACACTACTCGTCAACTCGTCCCGCTCCGCCCGGCAATCGCGTAGTGTTGCGTTTAACTTCGCCAGAAGCTTTTCGCTTAGCAGGGATAGCGTGGCATGCGCCTCAGTCTGCAGGCCAGCACCACCCATCCCTGCCGTGTCGTCGTTGAGATGAGAATTTCCTCCTTGCGGCGAACTAACCGCTGCTGACATGCCGTACAGCAATAAGATAATAATAATAATGTATCCGCTGAGCGGCTGGAATCCCCCCCTCCTTCGCCACTCCTTTCGGTTCTCTCCTCGCGCCGCAGATGTGTGTGTGTGTGTGTGTGTGTGCGTATGGCGCAAGAGGCCACGAGCAGCCGTAGAAGGATTCACCCAACGGCGCGGGTGCCTCAAATAATGCCAGCAAAAAAAAGGCGAAGCGGAAGAGCAGTGAGTTGCAGCGGGCCCACACAACACAAGGCAACTGTGCATAACTACGCACACCGAAAGTTCAACTCGCTAACGCCGCCAGTAGCGACCTCGATTGAATAAACGAATGAACAACACGCGAAGAGAAGACATTAAACCGCCCCAAACTGAAACTGTGGGAGGAAAAAGAGAAACTCCACAAAAGCCAAGCAGGAAGACATTAAGACAAATAGAGATATAGAAAAAAAGAGGTGATGGATGTAGGGATGCATCAAAAGAAGCTTGTCCACCTCACCGGCCCCACACCCTCGTTCCCCATTATATCTTTCCGTTCACTCGTCTTTCGCGCCCCCCGCCCGCATCCTACACCCCCGCCACTCACTCACCTGCCGGCCTGCCGCCGTAACGGAAGGAAGAAGAGGCGGAGCGTCGTTTTTTGTTTGTTTCTTTTTTTTTTACTCTGTGTGTGTGTGTTTTTTTTCCTGGCTCCCTTCGGATTTCTTCTTGCTTCTTTGCGTGTTTATTTTGCCTCTCTCGTATTGTAGTT